TCATGAGAATGGTTGCCGGCAGCTGACAGATTAGCATAGTCATGAGAATGGTCACAGGTAGGTGACAGATTTACATAGTCATGGATCAGGCAGCTGACAGATTTTGAGAATCCCTCAAGGAGATAGCGTGTGACTGGAAAGAGTGAATAGTTTTGCAACGTCACACGGTCATCAATAGCTATCGTTATATTAATCGGTGGTTCATCTCCCTGTCAGGTTCTTCTCTACCTGAGTGGCATATTCACCCTCATGGCCATATATTACACCCTGGAGCAAGCCTTCTGCAATTACGAGGACAAGGCCAAGGACAAACAGGAAGGCAGCGACAGCGAGGATCTGGAAAGCGGACACGATAGGAGGCATCCTGGAGGGGACGGTGAAGAGAGGACCCACCTGCTGGAGGAGTTTCAGCTAGAGACACTGGGCGGGGATCAGGTATCCAAGAATTCAGGGAGGCACACAGGGCATAGCAGGCACCTCACAGAGGCGCAGGCAGCGGGAGGTAGTGAGATTCCAAAAGGCAGAGCTAACACTGAAAGCAAACTTGAAGGACAAGCACACCTTGTAGGCAATGTGTTGATTACAGATCAGAGGCATACGGGAACTGTCAGACATGAACAGAAACTTCAGGGAGATAAAGACGCTCGTAGGGGTAGTGATACCACGAGGCTGAATCACAGGGAAGAAAGTGTGGGCAGTGACCACGGGACACCTCGTGCATGTCAGAAGGAGCAGACTGGTGGGCTACCCAATGTGACATGTTCTTGTGAGATTTCATCTGAGGTTCACCGAAGACTTTCACTAAGCGGAAATCCTGCAGTGACATGGAACCCTGGGAAAGAGTTCGAGTCTGTACACACGCACTGTCCCCAGTGCCAGAAATCCCAAGTGCAATATAGCGACGTGCCCTCGCAGGACCACCAATCTTCTTCCAGGGATTTGAGTGCGAAAACAAATGTGCCTGTCGTTGAGGAGGTGCCTTCCCAGCATGCCTTTTCTTTTACCAAACACAGAGATGCGCAATCCCAGCCCCTCCAATCACCACCCGTAGGTTTCGACTGTGAGAGACTTTCATCCATGACGTCCACCGCTGGTCAGTTTGCTGAAAGAGGCCGGCTGAACTCGGCAACAGGACACCTGCTCGGGAGGGTGGACAGGGTCGACTCGGTCTGTGCCAGTCCAGAAACCCTGATCCCTCCACCAGGCGGTGTTCCATTAAGTGCAATGACTGGACTGAACCAGTCTGGTTCCAAGAGGCACTGGAGTGATTTGTCTGTATGTAGTATCTCTGCTGACCATTCATATCACAGTGGCAAACATGAACCAACTCAGAAGAGTCCAACTGGAGGAGAGAGACACTTGACAAGAGCTCAGGACCAGAGGCCATTTTTACAACCACCATTTTTTCAAGACTGACGGCTGTTTTCGAAGGCCACGCATTGTATGTATTAAAACAAAATCCCCTGTAACATCAGTGACCTATGTACATGTACCAGACCTAGTGCAGGATGATTTGCTTGGATTTTTCCCCTATGTTCAAGTAGTTGCATGTACTTCAATATTTTAAACTTGACATTCAATAGTTCCCTTAGTTGATAAAAGGAAAAAAAATGGAGAAATAGGAAGGTAATATGTACCCGCACGTGTATATCATTGTCTGGCCTGTTGTCGGATTTGCTTACTGTGATGGTTTTCATTAGGGACTTGCTTGCAAGCTCACAGTTCTTTGCAGTTTTTCCAGGAACCCGAATAACCCTACAAAGTCCTGCACTGAGCAAAAAAAGTATTAAGTGGCACATCTTTCATTTGTGCACTTAAGTGCAGCTGCGACGAATTTGTCTTAAGACACCATTCTTGTACAACTTCCTACTCTTCCACAGTGTGGGAAAGGTATATTACGTCCCGGTTTGGTTAAGTGCATTGAAAAGTGCACTTTCCAAAAATAAGCCTTCAAAATTGTCCATGCTTTCCTTGACAAGTGAGGGCGCTGTTGCTGTGATGTCATCCAGGGAAGACTTAATAGTTCAGTGCATAGGTCTGTGTTCATATTGTTAAACCAGGATGTGGTCAATTTAAACACACCCGAGGAAGAGTTGATTGCTTGCACTTATACGGTATGTGCATACTGCCCTGTCAGTCCTCTAACAATGTATCACTAAAGAAGAGAAAATCTAGTCCAGCAAAATCTTTAAAAATGCAGGAGTTTTTGTGTACAAACCAATGTAAATGTAACACTCAGACTTTCCTTCCTTGGATGACATCACAGTTTTGTCCAAAATACATGTACATGTATGTATATGTATACTCCACCACATAAGGGTCATTCTATGAGGTTGGTGCACAATTTGTGACGGTGTCCTTTGTTGCGTGGATTCTGTAAAAACAGCTATTTCCCTGCATGTGGATTCCAAGTTACGCATCTTGCACGGCTGAATACAGAGGTGTGTGTTCTTTTACAGAGTAAGTGACCTACGTGTACTCTACAGGTCATGACAGATGGTAAAAGTTACCCATGCAACAAGGACACTGTCACAAATTGTGCCTCAACTTTACGGAATGACCCGTTTAACTTAGACACAAAGGTGCATTTAGAAGGTTTGTATTTAAAAAAAAATTCCATTGTGGTTACCCTTTAAACTTGGAAGGGACATGAAATTTCGTGTGAGTAATTATGAAGAAGCAGTTCCTTCCACATTTGTACGGTCTTGCAACTATATCCAAAACAGGACGGATTTTAAAGGATCTTCAAGGATCACAGAAGTTCAGGGTTGAAGTTATGAAAGAAATTGCCTCAATTTTCTGTAGAAGACAGCAGGGTTTGACCTTGATGGAGAAATGATTAAAATAGGACAGTTACATTCATGTACTGTACCTGTTATGGTGTGGTCTATGGACCTGCAGACATATACATGTAGAGTAACGAAATGAGTATGTCACGTGCTCAATTGTGTGTAAGAGACATTAGCAGGAGAACCAGCCCGTGAACTTACATGGGCACATACTCCATCCGTTTGCACTGCACCCCCTGGTTCAAAATGAGGTCGTACTTCGGTACTCTATAGAGGCTGAAGGTATCAAGTGTGTGATTTCTCCTCTTCAGAACCACTGAGTCATTGATACAGATGTCCGTTTACTTTTTAATGATAAAATGCAATTGGCTCTCACCACTCATCTAGAAGTTGCAGGCTTGCTATGAAGTCATGGCTATGGCTATAAAGGTACGCGTGCACATATGGATGACACAGGGTAGCAGCCGCAGCCGTTTTTCATAGATAATTGCGTTACTCAGGCACAGGTAGTGGTTTAAGGTGATATACTCTGAGCTGACATTTTAAAGGGCCCATGTAGTGTAATTTCTTAAATGGTGATTTTTTGTAATTGCTCGATGTTGTGCTAGTTAGGGAGCCTCTCAAAATTTGGAACGCTGTCACTGGAATACGGCCTTTTCACAATCGGGCGCCTCCAAGAGTTTGCCACGCATTGGCCAATCACAACGCTCGAAATTTGTCGACCCTTTTTAAACGCGCATTGGGTCAACAACTTTGCGCATTGTGATTGGCCAATGCGTGGCAAACTCTTGGTGGCGCACTATTGTAAAACGGCCGTATTGTGTGTTCCCACAGCAGAGGAGGCTCTGTCATTCCATGGAGAACACGCCATTGTGCTGGAATAGTCCAGTGGATTGGTCTGGAATGCTGTGTTGCACAGAACCATTCCCAACAGCCCGTTGCAATACTTTTGCTAATGTAACTGCAAATCTCTGCCTGCTTTCTGTCCAGAAAACGTTTGCGTCCTTGCCTGATAATACATGTCCTTTGAGGTCGGGATCTGCTTGCTTTTGGAGTGCTAATAGATAACATTTGCTGTGATTCGATACAACTTGGGCGTAATTACAATGGAATTAATCAGTGAACGTTCATTTGGGTGGCAGTGTTGACAGAACTAACAATGTACATGTGGGTTGTCAGTGAGATTTCAGAAAGATTCTTGCATGTTGCATGAGGCTTTTAATCGCCACACACAGGCCCGAGCCCGAGTCGTACCTGAAATCTAAAATCATGTACCTTTATCATGCACAGCAAATTGTTATAAATACAGGGATGGAATCAATGAGGGTTTTTGGGGGGAAGGGGGGATTCTCTTGTTCAAACCCCATCACTTAAAATGCTATCGTTGTTCTGGTTGTATTGCACATGTACATCATGGTGTCATACTTCAACAGCTGAATACAGAAGACTTGAGTAGAAAGTAACATAACAGTTATGATGCAGAATCTGTCAGTAAGTCAAAAATCATATTCAGAACATTGCAACGAGGCTGTGTGTTCCTGCTTTCTATGGACAAACTTACGCCCAACTGCATGCATTTGTCTTGCAGTAAGAATTCCATTGGGAACACGACATTCCAAACGGGGATGCTCCAAGGGAACGCAAATGTTCCCGACAGTATTGAGACACTCCGTTAACCTGATTGTTGCATTTACCGGTAAACATGTACTGTGGGTGTCTACAGGTATTTTGGTGCCTTTAGGATTTTTATACCAATACGAATTTGCATATTTATCAACAAAACTTTATTGTCATCCAAAGCAGAGATCACAGTGTTGCAGCTATTTCTGCACGACGATTTTTCCCTGTATTTGAGATGTTTTATCATAAATTATGTTTTCGTCAGTGATTGGTTGGTGTTCCAGCTCACGCCAGTATTAAAGCCAGTGGACAAAGTATTCTCAGAATTATTTTTCTGGAGAAAACTCCACAGACGAACCGTGTCTTCTTGTATCAAATAGCTTCACAGGAACAGTGACGTCGGGTTGGCATAGGGATTCTTTATTTGCCGTCTTTCCACGACCTCGATCTAGCTCTAGGCAACAGATTCAGATGCAGCCACAGTTCATAATATTGGTCAGAAATAAGAGGATGAACCGTGAAAATGGAAGGCTTTTGCCAATGCTTGCTCGAATAGCTGGAGACTTGAATGTATAAAGAATGACAGTGATAGTGCGAGATCGACCGTCAACACTGCGCAGTGATGCGATCCTGCAGATTAGTCTGCTCAGTATGTTAGCTCACCCTAGCTGCCATTGGTTGGTGGAGTTACCTGTGTAAATTGAATGGAAAACTTTGAGATGCTGGTGGCAGCAGACACACCCCCCGTCCTTCACAGCATTGGATATGCTTGGAACTATGCACACCTGCTCAGAATAATGCGTGCATGCTCAGAACTGGTAAAAAAGACTGGTGTGTGTTTGCTGCTACCGAGTGTCTCAAGGTCTGCCACTGGAGTTGCAGAATACCAAGGATACAAAGAAGTCACAACCATGGCACCACATGAACTTCTTGTGTGTCTGTCTACAGTGACAAAGATTTACAGTTTCATCTATGGTGTACTCCAAATGTGCTTACCAG